GGGCTGGATGATCTTATAGGTCTTTTCCAACCTAAACGATTCTGTGATTCTATAATTGTGAGGCCCTAGCCCTAACGCCACCAGCAGGGGTAGGGGGGCGATTGGGCTTGATGACCTTAAAGGGCTTTGCCAACCCAAACGGTTCTGCGAAGCTTCCCCACTACATGCAACCCCAGCAAGGCGTTTATCACACCAAGCCATTAAATAGGAGCACAGCGTTGCTTTTCCACATAAGGTTCCCCCCCCCATTAAACATGAACACGACAGGAATATTTTTCACCAACACAAGGCTTAGGAATTTGTCAGCCTGCGGGAGAAAATGATATTCAAATTATTTTAAGAGCAGGGCAGTAGAGCTCCGCCGTCCAGGAGCACAAGGCCTGTTGAATGGCAGTGGGCGTGTGGTGTAAAGTCTCTCCTAGTATTTCAAAAATCCTCCCCAAAACCCATTTGGCCGGGGCTCCCAGGTCCTGCCGGATGATCGATCATATTTCATGTCCGTCACCTTTTTCTGTGATTCAGGCACCATTCGGCACGCTGGTTGTTACCAGGCACTGGTAGCACAGATAGCGTGAAGGAAAACAGAGAGGAAAAAAAGCCACAATGGTTTGAAATGAAGCCCCGTGCTTTGGTTCACTGCTGCAGGATAAAGGCTTTTTTTTCCCTTTCTGCTTTTTCCCCCCGCTAAGAATGCTGCTGGGGAGCACTGGGGGCAGGAGGCTCTTTCTTACATCCCGTACACAGCTATGGTGGAGTCCCGAGCCCTGGATTTCCTCTTGTAAGATTAAGTTGCTGAATTATAAACACTTGAGCGGTTTGCCAGTGTTTAAATCCTGTTTCTTTGATGGAAAGTTAAACCAAAGCCCCTTAAGTTCTATTCCCCTGGCCTTGTAAAGTTGGTATTACCACACGAGCTCAAGAAAACGAGCTGGGGTGCGAGGGCTTCTGCTCAGAGACCGTCTGAATCACCCTCTCCACAGCAGCCATCTCATGGCCGCGAGCAGTCTGGCTGTACATTCGGTCTCTATTACCTATCTGCTACTGCTTATGTATTTTACTATTAAATGCCTATTCCCGAAGACGCGTTCTAGAAACAAGCCAGAGCGCAAAAGGCACAAAAATGCTACTCTGGCTCATAAATGGAATAAAACAAAACAAAACAAAAAAAATCATTTCAATGCTTTATGAAATCATTATCCCCTTCAGGAGGTTAAAAAAAAATAAAATCTGTTTCCTGCATTCTTTAATGGCGTGCATATTCAATCAAGGTAGTGCGCACAGGCGTTTCCCACGTGGAAGCGCGCCGTGTTAGTGAGGTGCAGCCGAAGTTACAGCGGCGACTTTGCTCTAGAAACAAAGGTAGAAATTTTAAAAGCAGCTTTGTGCACACCGGACTCGATAGACGCTTGCCTCCTCCTCCAATCCTGCATGCTCTCCTTTAGAATGCATAAAGTTGGAGCATTCGTCTTTATTTATAGATGTAATAATCTTTCTGCTTACATTGCTCTAGAGCTTTCGGAGGCTTTTACATAAAAAAATAGCAAAATACTCTTTGGAAAGCTAATTTGGCTTAGTACAAACGTAGATAAAAGCTCAAAATAGGAAGTTGCTTCATGTTAATCAAAAGCTTGAACGAAGCCAGAGAATTATTTTTCTTTTTCTTGCATTGCATGATAATAATTCAGCACCATTTTTAGTCTCTGTAAATTGAGTTAAATCATCAGGTTCTTTTCAGCCTAGCTTTTACTGCCTGACGCAGCGTAGAACACAGGAACCCTGCTGCAAAATCCAACGCCAGGTCATTATAAACTATATAAAGCATAAACGTAAGTCATCAGTGTCTGTCTGTGTGCTGTTGATTTTTTTGCCGCTACATCTGCAGGAAGATGGGTTTACTGTTCCCGAGTTGTGAACAGGTTCTGTGATAAAGGGGCATTTCCCAGAAGACGAAAAGCCACGCATCTATTTCATAACAATGTAAAGTCAAGGAATTCATAAAGGGCAGGAATTGAGCTTTTCTCAAGTTTACAGCTGACCTGAATTACTATTTTTTCTTCGGATTTTTTGGTGTAAAATCTACAACCTACAAACTTCCTAATTGAAATTAAAAAAAAAACCCCTTCAGAATAAATTAGAGCAGGTTTTAGAACCGAGAGAAAAAATCCTAAGCGCCGATTTTCATGGGCTTTTCCAAATGCCTAGTTAAACGTCAGTTGGTAGTGATGTCCTGCCCGACACCTTCCGCTGAACAACGAGGAATGAAAGCTGTGCGCCATCAGACTCTTGTGGTTTCTTGAGAAGTAGCAATATTTAGAAAATAATATACACATACAGATTTGAGAAATGGACAACAGTTCTCTGTAGATGTTTATTCTACTTACAGTAACAAAAACCTGTGAAGTCCCATATTTTAATGTACAGTGATATATTTTGCCATATAAAATACAATTTACAGAAATTTCTATCAAGTAAACCTAAACAAACACACTTACTTTTTGCATACTTTTATGTATGTCTTTAAATTAGAAACATCTCATTAAGAAAAAAAAAAAATCTTACACCATAGTAGATGTTTGCATTTAATACCGCTTCTCTGCATGTTAACGTTTTGCCTACAGGTTGGGGGGTACGATCGTTTCAACCAGCAAATCCGTGATGTGGAAGGACGCCGAAGCTGCACTGATGTGAGCTGTAAAATCTGTAGTGAGATACATGGCACACGCGCTACTTGTAACGTAGTCTTCAAGGGGCAAATGTTTCGAGGAATGTAATCTTCCCTTTCCAAAACTATTTTATAAAAATATCAAAATATTTACCCAACTGTTCATTTACACGGTCAAATAAATTAGCGGGTTTTAGTTCATACTTTAGAATTACGTCCTTGAAGAATACATGAGAAGTAGCAAGGTAATGTATTTCACAGTGAAAAGCTTCCCTCTGGAATCGCCACCTGAAGTACCACCACTCTTTCTTTTCAAGCTTAATGCAGTTTTACCTTTTTCAGTGGAGAGTTTTATATACACTACCAGCCTAAGTAGGGTCTAACAAAAAAACAGAAACCAAGACAGTGACGCTTTTTTTCAGGAGCAAAACACTTTTAAAATGAAAAGTACAATCAAATGGGGACATTTCTTAAGTCTATGGCAAAATTCGGCAAAACCAAAACAAAACCCAAAGAAATGCTCCCCTAGATCAGTTGAAGTCGAAGTAACAGATTCAATGGCCTGTTTAACCAACTTACTCGCCTTCCCTTCGGTACCCCAATTCGTTTGTAGCCTTAGCCTCCTTCAAATAAATGTCTGATGTTTTTGTGAGTTTTGCTGGTTATAAAGGTGCTACGCTTGCATGTTCTTTAATTACAGATTTGTAAAAATGCGACATTTAAAACCCCTCGGCCTCATGAAAAAAAACTTAAGTACGACGTGTTTCTTTGCTGGACAGTTAACAGATGGATCCCAAAGCACAAAATACCTGTCTATAAAAAAGGAAGATAGTGCACTTGAAGCTTACAACATTCCGTTTGCAAATCCTCCGTCAGTCACAAGTGATCATTAACACTGTTCTCCTGCAGCCTTTTCCTAAATACACGGCCCTTCCGTTGTAAAATAAACAAGACAGCAACATCGGACTCGGTTTGTGGGTTTTTTTTCCTTTTAAAGTGTGTGCTGTAGGAACAACTTTGACACCAAAATATCATGTAAATGAGATGTAAAGGTATGGCTCCTAAGGTCTGGATTAAATTCTCTTATAAAATTACAATTCAAGTTACTGGAAAACATAACTTTATAATCTTAAAAAGCAATATGCTCTTCTTAGATTTTTTTTCCATTTCTGTACTGTAAATGGAAATTTTAAGATAAAGATGCAAGTAGAAAAACAAAATTTCAGTACAGGTAACGCTGTGAATTTTTATAAGAAAAACATTATGCACAAAATGCAGCAAGTGAAAGTCCAGTACGTCCTTGCCTTTTATCTGGTTTGAGTATTTTCATTCACAGTTGTTCAGAAATTGCTCATTTGTCAGTACATTCCGTAAGGCGAGTTTTACAACAGCGTTTTTGTAAAGGTGAGAATATACAGTATATACAGAAGATGCTGATTCAGTCCTTGCTGTGGTGTAAAAGTGTATTATTGATGGGAAATAGAATCTCAGTCATATTTCTATGACTGATTAGTGGAAGATGAAGCTTCTGCTTCCGTTGGTTTCTGAGTTTCCTTCGGTGTTTCTGGCTTCATCTCCTTACCAATTTCCCTACTCTTACTCCGGTCTTTGCGATCTTTTCCTCTTTCTCTTTCACGATCGCGATCTCTCTCTCGATCTCTGTCTTTTTCCCTGCTTCGATCCCGGTCCCTGTCCTTCTCTCTGTCGCGATCTCTGTCTCTGCTTCTTGATCGCTCTCTGTCGCGTCTCCTGTAGGAATCTCTGTCTCTGGTTCTTGCTCTCTCTCGGTCTCTGTTTCTTTCCCATTCTTTAGCCCGCTCCGAATCCTTGTCTCTGTCTTTGTTTTGGTTTCTCTCTCTGTTTTTATCCCATTCCTTGTCTCTGTGTCTCTCCCAGTCCCTGTCTCTATTCCAGTTTCTGCCACGGTCTCTTTCCCAAGGTCTGCCGTGTTCTCGATCCCTTCGTCTTTCCTCGAAGGGTCTACCTTGTCGATTATCTGCTTGCTGAGGCTCTGGCTGATCTAATCCCTTGTCTTTATTTCCTCCCTCATACCTCTCTCTCTGTCTCCCTTCAAATGTCTGGCCTCTAAATTCAGGATTTTTGCCTTCTCGGAAGTCAGGTGCTGACCACTGTCCTTCCGACTCAGATCCTTGTCCAGAAATATTGGAAAGAGATGCAGATGGTCCAGCTTCCTCCCACATCTCTTTTCTGTGGGATGGTGGATGGCTTGGAAGGTCCAGGAGTGGTCTTGGGGTTGGCTTCATACCTTGTGGTGACTGACCTTGGAAATGAAATCTCGAAGGGGGAGGTTCATTTTCTTCCGGAAACAGTGCAGGTGTGGCTCCTCTTGGTCCTCCAAACTGAAGTGGTGCTGGACCTCTCTGGTTGGCAAATCTGGGTGGTGAACTCCCTCTCCGTTCTTCAAATGGCTGCGGCAAAAGTCCTCTTGGACCAGGTACATGATTTGGAGCTGGACCTCTCTGCCCTTCAAATTGATTTGCGTGAGGCCCTCTTGGTCCCCCAAAATGACTCGGGGCTGGACCTCTTGGCCCTCCAAACTGAGGGCCTCCTCTCTGTCCTTTAAACTGAGCTGGTGGGGGTCGTCTTTGGCCTCCAAAAGGAAAAGGCGAAGGTCCTCTGTTTCCCATAAACTGAGGTGGATCTGGTCCTTCGAACTGTCCTGGAGGTCTAATCATTTCATTATATTGGGAATCTGAGAATTCCCTTTGTTCCATGTGAGGCTCCCTACGATCTTCAAACTGAGATGGTGACATTCCTCTTGGAACACCATGGTAGGAAGGGGCAGGGCCCCTGTTATCACCAAAAAGAGATGGTGGTCCATGCTGTGTAGAAAATAAGGAAGGAATGGGACCCTTTTGACCTCCAAATCTTCCAGATGGAGGTCCTCTTTGTCCATCATTATTTGGAGAACCGTGTTCTTCAGAGAACTGTGGTGCCGGTCCTCTAAAATTAGGTCCATGAGGTCCTCCGGGTGCATTGAGCATCAGGGGTGCTGGAGGCCCTCCTTTCTGCCCAGACAAAGAAAATGGAGGTCCAGCTCGGTTTTCTTCAAAGTGCTGTGGGGAAGGTCCACCCTCACCCTGAACTGATGGAGATTCAGTTTGTTCTACAAATGGATGAGACTGAGGATTTCTTTGTTCATCATATTGCGCTGCTGAAAGACCCCTCTCTGGCTCAAAGTGACCAGCTGCGTTTTCCTGAGAAGTAAACACTGTATTTGAAAACGAATCCCTTCCCATTCCTTCCTTTGACTCATTTGACCATGGCACTTTATGCATATCTTGCAAAGACTGACCGTCGTTTGATGTGGAGAAATTCGGCTGAAAAGATGTACTCGGAGGTGTCGGAAGCAGCACTTTACGTAAAGGTTTGGATGTAGGAGGTTCTCCAGAAGCTGTTTGACTCATGTTTTCCAAATTAACTTGAACAGTGTTTTCAAATTTGCTATTAGATGCCTCTTTCTGGGACACCGTAGAAGCCTTTTCACTTGAAATCCAATTATCACCACTAAAACCAGGCTGAGTAGCAGAAATTAAAGTTTTATCTTCCTTACCAAGCGAAGTCTGCAAAGCATTTGGAAAACTTGCTGGAGCGATTTCTCTTGTGGCTATCTCATTCTGTACCACCTGTGGCTTTATTCGAGAATCAACGTTGTCATTAGTCTCTGTCGCCATTCTTCTAGCTTGTCGAGGATCTCTATTCTGCCTTGGGTCACCGCCCTGGTTTAGAACTTGTGCTTGCTGATTTAAAGACAATGGTAAATCTACTTTTTGTGTAGCTTGCTGGTCCTGATGGAATAATTCAGTCTTCATTAGGGAAGATTTTGGTGGTGGTGACATTAAAGCATCAGACACTGAAAAATGAGCCATTGAAACACCAACAGCTGCTCTTTGTTGTCTGAGGGCTTCTTCTTGTTCCTCGAGTTGTCTTTTCTGTTCTTCAATTTGTTTGTTTAATTCTTCCAACATTTTTTGCTGTTCTACTAAGGATGAGGATGCAGATAGATCAGGCACGTATGAGGCAGAGGTTTCCAAAGAATTGCTTTTCGTGTCTGTATACATTTTGTTAGGTAAATCATCAACAGTAACTTTCGCTTCTTCCAGGATAGTTTCATCTTCTGGATCGTAGGCCTCATCCTCTAGTTCTGCTGTATTAGATGGCTTTTCCGTGTTGTATCGTTTTTCGCTTTCACCGGTCTGCATTTCAAAAGCTTTCTCTGGACCATATTCTTCCTCAGGATCGTATGGCCTGTCATCCTCCTCCTCTTCTATAGCTCTGTCTTTCGACATCTGTCCAAACTGTTGCACAATGGGATCTAGCAGCGGAACAGCTGACATTCCTCCATCGGCAGCAGCTGGACCTTCCTGATTTGAAGACTGGACAGTTTCAGAATCCTTAGCGAGAGGCTCAAAAGTTTTCTTTTTCCCAAAAAGTGTCTGCAGGATGTGCTCGAGGGGCGTGGCAGTTTTTGAGGATGAAGAATGCGTAGCAGTAACGCTTGCAGAAGCAGCGGTTGGAACTGGTGGTGTTACAGTAGTTGTGGTTCCACTTTTAATTGAGGACAGGATCTTTAATACTGACGGTGTAACTGCCGAGGTGTCTGGAACGGGAAGTGGGGGTGGAGGTGGAGGAGATCCAGGTGGTGTTGTACTTACGGTTGAATCTCCCGAATAAAGCGCGTATTTTGGAGCTTTCTTCTCTTGCGAAGCAGCCAGTGGCCCTTTAGAGAACAGCGATGATTCGGTTTCCTCGTGTGCTTGAATTCTGCTTCGCTTTTCCTCTATCTTCTCTGTTTCAATGCCAGTGGCAAGACGTTTCCCTTTCTGACAGATAACCAATCCAAGAATTAAATTTGGCCGAGATGACTCAAGACCTGAAAAGGAACACAAAGATCGTATACGTAAGAAACTAATTGTTAATTGTGCTTTCAGTAGAAACTTATTTTATATAGTGACAGCTACAAAGGTCAGGTCATAAAGAGAACTGTTTTTCTAAATTCCATTAGATGACATATTGGCAATTTTAATTAGTCCATGAGCATATATATTTGTATATAGTAAGCAAAGAAATGTTTTAATTCCTCCCTTGATATTTTTAATAAAAGATTGCAGCAACAGGTAGGATTATGAAAAAGTGTCTGTGCAAATGTTCAAAATCAAAAAAAGTTTTTATATTTTTTGTATTGTTGCATCTGTTTGTTGTTCAACCAGCCCTACCTCTCCCCCTGAAAAACCGTATCTTTACTTTCAAATAGTTTGCAATTACGTTGTACACACAGAGATACTGAAAAGTGAGAAAACCTGGGCTAAACTTCATAATTATATTTCTGTTATAATCTGTGCTAAAGACTACATTGACATTTACACCAGTCTATAAATATTTTGTCTAAGATAAACAAATACCAGTAATTCCTAAAAAGATAACCTCAAACAAACTGTGTTTGGAAACAGTATTAAAGCTTGTAACCCACTCCCGTTTCGTTTGGTTTTTTCCAGCTAGACATTATTTTAAACCGTGATAGAAGCAGGGAAACTATAACTAACATAGCCAACAAGCACTGGCGAGCTCAAGCAGACACGGGGTTGGGGGGGGGAGAAAGGGACGCTGCGTGCGTTTGCTTTCTCTGCGAGAGAATGGTTGGTTGGGTATGAGCCTGGTCTGCAGAAGGCAAGGGGACTCTCAACCCCCCGTTGCAGGATTCAGGTGGATGCTGTAGGCCTTTCTAGAAGTAAAAAACACGGTAAGCAGGATTACTCCTTTGTGAAAGCGTCACACTTGAATCCTCGGAGCAGTATATCCAAAAACGATGGGAGAGTTGCTGATAGAGAGGAGAAACGCAAAGGCCTGGAGGTCCGTTTAATGCTATCGCATTTCTTCCTCTTACAGGCACAGTTCCCACTGGCCCTTGTGGAAGATGAACATGTCCAGAATGAAGGGCAGGGAATAAATCCTTTAACATACAGTTGGTGGCAAAGGTAGAAAATCTGTATAGAGAGGGGGTTCTGCCTTTAGTGACTTTAAAAGGTCCTCATCTGAGGACCACTGGCTTTCCCCTACACGTGCCATTAGTTACTAGTTGCGTCCAGTAGGAAGCAGCAATATAGAAACACAAACCAATCTGTAAATTAACAGGCAATAGTCACTGTGGTTAAATGGCAAGGTGAGGGCTCTGACCTACGTTGCTCCTTCTATTCATGATCCTGTAAGTAACAGCTTTATATACGTATATGTTCCCTGTTCTTATTAAACCAAACCAACTGCTCATTAAGGAACAATTTTAAAATATCTAATTATTAGCATTGAAAACTTCTTGATACCAGCAACCCCCCCCCAAGCCCCACAGCTGCAGATATATTCCACTAGCAAACCACGTTCAGAGACATTACTTTGCTGAAACAACTGAATTAGAAGTTTTAAGGGGACTCTTAAATTTACTTCTAATGAGAAAATTACATCAGCTGTTGCCTAAATTTATGTCATGTTTAATAAACTTCACCTTTCCTAAGTTCTTTGGTTGCTAACTTCACACTGAGAAATCAGTACATGAACCTTTGTCAGTGAGAAGGTATCATCACTCTCAAAGCTTAAGCTAAACTCGGTTAGAACCTACTTAAGTACAAGATGAAAACTGGGCTGAATTGATGCCAAGGCAAAGCCCAAGCATTAGAACCAATTCGGTCTGTGATGAAAGCCTGTACTGCAGGAATTACTTGCACTTTGCTAAATAACACACCAAAACCATCGCTGCTTTAAATCTTAAACTTACTATTTCTATACTTGCTATATATTTCATTAAGCTTTTGTTCACAGAACGTCCCCCTAAATCACTGATGCTTCCACTTCTTATGCTCAAATCTTATCCCATATAAACCTTATTTTCCAAATAGTGAACTACAGATAATAAGACGACAGAATTTTTTTCAAATAAAATAAGTTAACTTTGAAGTTTTATGAGATATCTTGATAACTGAGGGAAAAAAACCCTCCTCTAAAAATTCTGTGTTCTTCTAATTGGCACAGTGAAACTGGTTTAATCACTCAATGAAGGAACCAGCAAAGTCTGGTAACTCCCCAGAAATAGCCCTTTTAAAAGACCAGAAAAAAAATATGATGAAAATTTGAGGCCAATCTCAAGTATTTGCTTCAGATTTCCTATCAGGAATAGCTCTCATTATATTGAGAAATAAGAATAATTATAAATTTGAGTGAAAGTTTTTGGAAAACAGTTACTCTGTAGAATGCATTCTAGATCCACACCAGAATTTATATTATTTCATAGCGGTCAAGTTTTACATAGTTCTGTGGTTAAGAGGGAACTGGACATGCAGGTTTAAATCATCTTTTTTTCATTTTGTAGTATGTATTATTTCCTATTTGTACATCTAAAATTCAGTGCCAAAAAGGTTTTTTCCTCCAGGTACAAAATTTCTGTGTTAGTTAAGTGCTGCTAATTTTCACCTTCTTCTTTCAAAATTAGAAAAAAAAATATAAAAATTATAAATACAGGAAGAAAGTTAAGTGGCTATATTACCAGAACTAAGAATTACAATAATTCAGTACATGCACAAATTTGTCCCTTAAGAGGGGTCGGGCTGCTGAGATGTACATGGGAAGTAGGCAGGACAGGAACCGAACAAGTAATGACTTTCAGTGAACCTAAGATTATTCAAAAAGGAGCACATAAATACTTAACTTATCCAAATACTCATTTGCACCCACAGCCTACAAGCAATTCTAACAGTTCCGTTCACAGTAATTTACTACCTTAAAAGAAATGATATTAATATAGAAGATCAAGGCATAGTTCAAAAGTAAGACAACTGGGGAAAAAAAAAAACCAAAACATTCACAATTTACAGTCGGAAGAGACTCATTAGTTAGAAATGGTTTACTGTGTGTGAATTTGCTTTATATTTTTTCTTTATCAGTATAAAAATAACGACTCTGCATTTGGTCGGTGTTGACCAGTGCAGCGTATCTCACAACTTGGTGCTCATCCAAGAGCTCCTAGCAGGCACTTGCTCTTCCTCTGTTGTTAACGTTTTCGTTATCTACTTTTATGCAGAGACTTATGATTTGTGCAATTAGTCACAATGAATCTCAAACACCGAATAATTGAAATAACCAGGTTTCAAAAATCCATCAGGCAGAATATCTAATAAACAGCAATTACTGAAAAATCAGGTTTGAATCCCTGTAAGAAACAGAGATCAAGTCACTAATTAAAAGAGGGTGAAATTTTAATACACTTTCAAGACAATAAGTTCCGGTAGTAAGTTAATAACATCATCTGTAATTTAATCTGGTTTTAGAGTTTAGTCATCATAGAACAAATCCATTAAGATTTTAATTTTGATACTGCAGTTTTACACAAATATTCCAATTTATGCCTAACCTGGCTTCTACATTCACTCAGTTCAAGGTGGTCAAATACTAAATGCTTCTTTTGAATGGATGCATACGGCCGGACCAGCGTTTCAAAGGGCAGTCCCATTCTATTCCAATAGCCATCAATGGGTTAAGTGCCTAATTTTAGGTAATAACAAGAACGCTGGCTGCCCTCTCCAGCTATTGCTCAATGCCTCTTTCACAAGCATTTTGAAAGTGCTGCAAGCTGTGCTGGCAATTAGTAGCTTTCAGTGCTAAATTATTTATAAAATAGTTATTATCCTGTTATGTATTTGAAGGCCACATGTTGGTTTTATTGAGTTACATCCTGTAACTAAAGCCATTAAAACAGGATATACTAAATATTAGTATTGGATAAATATTTTTGTTACCCTTAAATGCTTTTTTTTTTTTCATTAAATCAGTTTTACCATATTTATGCATACAATGCTCACAACTTTCCCTATCATCATCAGCTGGTAAGAAGTCACCTGCACTGTTGAAGATCAATGTACATCAGTGCCAAAGCCACGGGAGGGCATTAAGCACACCCATGGTGTACATTTTAAAACTGCAGAGACCAATACAAGAGATTAGTGAAATTTTACCAACGCCATTTAAATATTTGTCCCAATTAATCATGAGAGCAGCTGACAACTAGAAGCAAATCTGTACATCCTTAATTCGGGGACATAGATCGCTTCCAGCGTGGCTGCACGTCCAGGTACGCTTGCCGAATGGAATCGTCTCGTAATGCCACGTTCTGCTACGGCTGCTTTTTACAGTGATAGCTGCTGAGAGGAAGACACCGAATTCCATTCACAGTTAAAATTTTGTTCCATTTGTTGCAATTTTGAAGAGTGTTCTAACCAGCATGAGGAGATTTCATGCCTTCATACCTTAAGAAAAAAACACACTTCCTATCATAAACCACCAAGGAGATATATCAACATTTGTGGAATACATGGCTATATTTCTGGATATATGGCTCTTTTACTAAAATTATTTTAACTCTGTAAGATACTAATTACACTAAATTCCCTCAATAAATCATTTTCTATTGGTAATTAAGTCCGATTATACTATTTTTTTACAAAGTGCTTTGAGATCTACAGATGCAAGTGCTAAATAACATTGTGTGTATGTGAAACCGAAAAGTAAATTCACATACAGTAAACCATAGCAAAAAGACACTGCAGAAGAGCCCACCGATACATAAAATCTGCTAATAAATGTCTGAGATGAATTAAGTATAAATATGGACAACCTTCCGTTTTCCTCTGGTTTTAAATCACCCATATCAAAGTTTTTTGTAGATCTTCTAGGTACTAGCGCAGTTCAGAAGTCCTCAGTTGTGTTCCAAATCCAGTCCCATCAGAGAACAGGAGAAATTCATAATCCATACGTGCCTGATGGAACTGGTTGATAGAGCTGGAATATCTTCTAACTAGGATTTCTGGAGTGGCAGGGGTTTATGGTCCTCTCCCTCCTCCCCCCCTCCAGTCATATTTCTCAAATCATCTTAAGCTACCTAAAGCGTAATGCTTTTCGAGTCCTTGCTAAATTCTATGTGAAGGTACACGATTAAATTTAAGGACACAATGACCACTTTCCACAAAATATTTTTATTGATTGTGAAAGAAAGAAGAGGCGGTAAATTCCATCAGATGTCATTAAGAAGTATGGATTACATGTCTTTTATGCTGTGGTTTTAATACATACACAAAAACAGAAAAACAGCTTACCTGATTTTTTTGCCCCCCCCTATCGGATCTGGTTTTAAAATACGAACACAGCTTAGCACAATGATGAGGCAGAGGCTGCTACAGAAGTTTCCAAGAAGTGTGAATTGATGGCAGAAGTCTAAGTGGGTCTTGTATGAAACTGCTCCATCATATGGCCTCTCTGCCTCTGCAACCTTGTTTGTGTTACTATCCTTTAGCCACTTTGCCTAAAATATGTATTTCAATTTGAAAACCTGACTCATAAAAGTTGCCTCCATGAGCACCACCAGCAAATGATAACTATTTTTTCTGAGCAATTCCCTCCAGTTCTGAAAAAACCCTTTTTTGCCCTTGAAATTCAGCAAAACGAGGCTGACATTACAAATTTCTATACTAATACTTGGTAGAGTTTGTCTACGTTTGCCAACCTATGACAGAAAAGTAAAAGGAATTGTAAAAAGGGAAGCTGGTATTTTCCCAGGTATTCGAGCAGGCAACAATCAGGTAAGTGCCTGCCCCGAAGGGAGGTTGTTCGCCAGCCCAGCTAATGACTGCAGACATTTCCAGCTGATTCAACGGCCAATCCCACCCCTGTGTTACTGCCCAGAAAGGAGGGCACTCCTTTTGTCCTGGCTGGAAAAAACAGCCCGTGAATTCAGACTCTTTGCGAACATCTCTGTGCCACAAGTATTCTGCACTTAGTGTTTCCACTTTTTGGCTACGAAACGGGAATAACAGTTTTTGCCTACCTTTCAAGAATTCAGTGAGTTAAAGATTATGAGGTGCTGAGATTCAACAGTTACAGCTATATTGCTGTAATTTAAATAGCAATAATCCTGCCTTTTTAGCTCTAGACCTAGACCGTGCACTGCTCAAGGACGGGTAAGACAGACTTGAAGTGTATGAGAAAAACCTTGCCTGAGAATGCAGAGCAAGTGCCCTTTGCAATCTCATGGAGGAAGGGAAAGCATTTAACTAAGGATGTATCGGTGGTTGTTGTTGTTAGTCATGTGCCATTAACACATGACAACCTGGCCCAGACACTGTTGCTCCTGCATATAAGCTCTGAGAATGCTTTATTGAGTTTAGTCCTAACTTGTATTTGAGGAGGACAGTCAGCTTCTCAGAGAGGTCAGCTCCTTGCATGTTTGCTGTTTCATACCTACCGTTTAGTATTTTGCAAACCATTGCTACGACAACGAGGTATTACCTTCATGGTAACCTGTAGTTCTTCAGCCTCCTAACCTGTTATTTTGTATAAAACCCCAGATACTTGAAGATGACTTCAAATTTTGGAATAGAAGTGTGTGTCACGGCTGAGTTCATTCTCAGTTCTTCTGTCACCATGTCCAACGCACAAACACGGAGCAAACTTAAGTCAAACGTTACTACTGGTAATTTTATCTAAAAATAGAAGATTATGATATAACCTGCCTATACCAGCTGCTGTCTGCCACCTGCTAACCCTAAGGAATGTGAATCAAACCAACCAACCAATTTTCAGAAGTCGGCGATTTGGCTAGAGTTTGCTCCAACGAGAACAAAACATTTCTAACACCTTGTGCACCACATAATACTGAGCATGAGGCAATGACAACGCAGTGAAACCACTGTGAATATTACCTTTGTCTTCATAGATTTCTTGATTCCTCTGTGGGCTAAGTTTCCTGCTTGATATAAATGACGGTGAATGGCTTGCAAGGGCCTAGGCTTTATGGATTTATGGGTTGCTGAAGATGGGGGGGGTTGTTGAGGTTTTTCTCAATATAGTGGCTATTCCACATACTTGATTTTACAGGTAAACTCATCCTCCTAATAGCATATAAGCATCTTGTTTGGAAGACTATGTAAATTTCAGGCAATTTTATCTTGAACAGAGGTCGATTTCCAATTTTTCCCTATTTACATGCTTTAAAATTGGTTTTATATTTAAAAATTTACTAATGCTTACATTAAACATTCAAAGCAACTTGTCTCAGATTGACTTTTGTTTTGTGATTTTACCTAGCATTTAACCTCCCCTGTTTTGTGCTTACCTGGTCCCTCAAAGGGCAAGAGTTTGGAAGGAATTGGGTCCTTAGAACTCAGGGGGATCAGGTAGAGATCCTTGACATGTCTGTTGTTATTAGCTACAACACCAAAACGACCACGACTGCTAAAATAGGAGTAGAGAGATATATAGGCAACTTCTTCTTCTTCTGTTGCAGGATGGAAACGAATCAAACACAATTCCTGTAATACAAAAGCAAAGTGGAAAAATTCAACCTGCAACATACCAGCAAATAAAACGGTAAAGGGCAAATTCCAGGGGTAAAAATAAATTGCACATGTCTCACTCCAACTATGTTTTCAAGGCAATACTCTGGCTTTAAGAGAGTACTGTTGCTCAATTTGTAATAATAAAACAGAATTAGGTTTGTTGTTTTCAGAAATACAAATTACTTGCGTATCTTCAAAATTAAACATCTTGAGGCTCAAATTATTACGAAAGGAATGGAAAATTCTTAGTTCCATGAATATATCCATACACTGTCTTTTTTTTATTTCTGAAGTGTTTTTAATAGTAAAATCTATTACATACACTAAAAAATTTCCTTTTCTTTAAAATTTTAATTTCAATCTCAATAGATTATTAATATGCAATCATTAGAAATTAATAAATGGTATGAAGATTTAACTACTAAGCAGGAGAGGATCTGCAGCTCAATAAACATGTTTCTTCAATAAATCAAAAATTTCAAAGGAATAAGTGGTGTTGGTAGTTTTTCAGGTGTGATCTATGTCAGCATTCGCTGTTTATTAATGTATAATATATTAAGTTCTCATTTTATATTGCTGTATTTTTCTTCCGTGTTTTGCAAAGGATTTGAAGTGAATACCTTAGAAAGCGAAGATTTGAGTTTGCCAACATAATCCCAGACCGTCTTCGGTGAGATCCTCCCACCAATATGAATTGTATCTGGTAAATCCTAAACAAGAAGTATTACACAGTAGTATGAGAAAAACCAAGAGAGACTGATGTTTCAAAGCAGTGCAGGCCGCCCCATCCCAGCAGCCCAGCGGATAACGCACCAGTGTGTTCTAGTAAACTTTCAGACATACTTTTCTAATTTCAGACAGGCTATTTCTAAATTTCAAGGTGTTTAAGCGTGGCTTGTTACCAAAAAGGCTAACAGTCTACACGAAACAGAACAAGCATTCTCAAACAAGGATAGCAGCAAGATGTCTAATAGCTCTGTACGCCCATTACTGGCTTTGCTTTTATAGGGAAGCTGCTATTTGAAATAGAGATTTTCTCCACACTTTCAGTTTCTCAGGAAACGCTGCACTCGTGACTACAAGTCACGTGAATTCTAGTGAGCCTCCTGTCAGGAGGACACTGAAACTCATTTTAGCAAAGGCAATACCAAAAAAAGCCACCAACCCTACTAATAAAAGTCCTGAACCACACATTTGCGTTTGAAACTTCCTAAGTCGCATAAAATGCTCTTCAGAGAAAAAAAAAAAGAGAAAGAAAAGCTTATTTGCTTTAACGCAAACCTTTATACCGTCTCCTTATTTGAATGCACACCCACCCAGAGTAACATCATCCAACTGGTTTCATTTGAAAATTAGTAAAAAGGATGATACTTTTCATAAATGACCAAACAAAATTTTGTCATAGATCACATCAGTTACCTGTCTAGTTTGAGAACTAGACAAGACATCTACTTTAAAATAGTGGCTCTAAAACTTCCTTGCATAAAGTGAAGCTGAAATAAAGGTATTATTCCATGTTAGATCCTAACATATGTATAAATATGTTTAAAGACATGAGAATCCTTCACAAATTTGTGAGGAATTTTTAAAAGGCTTTTTTTTTTCTTGAGCTACTTTTCCTATTACTAAAGGGATGCCATTTACCACTGCTACAGTTCTAATATTACTATATCTATATCTGTATACATCTATATCATCTGTATACATCTATATCATCTGTATACATCTATATCTACATATTGAGTGAGCCCAGCCTTTCTAGCCACAGGAACTGCAGTACAGATTGATGCTAAACACAGAAACGGGTCAGTGCTAACCTCGCTAAGATAATCAAAACACCCGGAGACAGGATATGCTTTAGTGACAAATTTGGCCACACTTTGCATGTTAATAAATCCTTTCCAAATGGTGTTGAGACGAGAGAGAAAGAGGGAAGTATCGCTGTCTTGAGGTGAGCGTGGCTCTGCAACACTGCAAAACAAATCCAAAACAGAAAGGTTACAGAAAACAAATGAGAATGGTCCCTTCTTTCTTCCTTTCCTTTCCTCCTCCTATTGATCAAATACTTTATTTTAAACAAATAACAGAATTTTTACTAAATGCTTTGTTAATGTTTTTCATTAACTTGGTATTAGTGAAAAAAGGAGTAACAGAAAATAAACTTGTAGCTGCAGACAGACAGGCAAAAAGATGCCAGAAGATATGACTTCTATAAAATCAGGTTAGCATTATAAGTGCTGTGATCCTGACTCTGTAACAAACTAATCTGAATTATAGATCTCCCACTAACTGAGTCAACAATATGCATCTGGAAGAGATTCTCAAGTAAAAGTTTTTGCTACGAACACAAATCTTGTTAAGGATATACTTTGTAATATTTAATTTCACTAGCGTATATACCCAGAATATGAAAGAAATCCACTTCCTTTCTAGCCGATCAATTGGTTAATTTTAACTTTAATACATAGTCATAAATTCAGATATAACAGTATTTTAATATAGGATGAAAATCTGGAAATGCCTTTAAAGCATCTATCACATCCGCTTGCTTTCTATATACGAATGTGCATGCAGACTTCTAAGCCTGCAGAATACCTTCACGTTTTATTTATCTGCTGAAACACACTGTAGAGTCTTTGCTGCCAACATACACTGATGCTCAGAAAATTTTACCAACTAGAGAAGGTAAACGAGGAGATGGTAAATTAAAAATCTGAATCGGGCTACCTGAACTTTGAAGTTGAACATGCCTTTTGATTGGGGGAGGGTAACAGGACATGGGACACATGGGACTTTGAAAATAACCACGTTAAAGTTTCGGTAGCTTGGCTTACTGTTATGTATACGCACTTGATATTGGGCGACTGATGAACTGCTAAGTATCTTGGATCTGGTGAGGATGATGGTTTTGTTAATATTGATTTGGGGACAGTCATAACTGGTTTGGAAGTTTCCTGTTTCGTTTCCCCTGTTGAAACTTTGTCAGATGCAGGACCAGAACGCAGGGCTGGTGTCGCCATACCAGAGGAGCTGCTCATTGCTGTCCTCGGGTCTCTGCCAGAAACTGTGACGGTTGTCACAACTCCACCAGCACAAGAGGCAGGAAAAGCAGAAGCCTCTTCAGGTATGGAGGAGTCTGTACTGTTATGGCCCTGGGTTGTAGGAATGTAAGTTCTTTCTACACTTGACTGAGGAGCGGTTTCTGCTACCGGTCCAACTTCAGTTTCCATTGCATTTTCAGCAACAGCCTCCTTGGCAGGCTCTGCTGTTGGGGTTGGTGCAGAACTTTCATACTTTGGCTGAACTTCTGGTTTTGATTTCGACTCCACCTTTTTAACTGGAGCCACTGACTTTATCTTCTTAGGTGGTACTTCGTCTTCGGATGCTGAAATTTGACCTATAAATTCAATTTAAAAGATTTTGATTACTATTTAACAATGAAATAGTTCAGAGAAAGACAAATAAACAAACAACACTCTTAACATAACAATTCCTTTACTTTGCACCAAGTCAGCACTGTAGATACCTGTACAGATTTTGCAGTTCAGGTCAAAAAGATGGGCTCGATGTTGACTCGTTGTATCCTTCAACATACTGCTAAAAACATCTAGAGAAGGAGCACTGTTCAAATTTGGTGCAGCTCGGGCTGACTCTTGCTGCTCCTAAAAGTGAATAAACATAAAATATATTCCATTTGATGATAAATTTCAACCATAAAAAAATACTTTGGAAACCGTTAATTAACTTCCGTTCTTTACAAAAAAGGTGAAAGGCTTTCGTTAAAGCATATCACGTCAGATAGTCTCAAATAATATTTGTCCTCATTTCATTCCTTGGTGTTCTGAAGTAGATAGCTAATGTTCAGAAATAAGAGACTGCTCTGTAAATTGACAGCAAGGGCTGAAAAATACACGGCATTTTAGAAGTGCATGCAAACTACGCCCATCATTTGGTCGCTGCAGTGCTTCAGACTAAAAGGAAAAATGCTCGCAGCACACCTACTAGGTGATAGTATCCTTACAGCTCATTGAAACAACTGCTAATGAAAAATTTGAGGCCCTAGTTATCATTTATCTCCCTCGATGTCTTCATGCTGAAGCAATAGCCAATACTTACATCAGAATCAGATACCGGCGGAGAATCTTCCATATTTACAACTTGTACATGTTCCCGTTTTACAGATGTTTTCTTGATTTCATGAGATTTGCTTCTTGACTCTATCATCTGAAAGAAACAAAACCATTTTGGTAAAAAGTCTACAGATTCATTTTATAATTTTATTCCGTACTTTGTTATCATTTGGCTGGTAGTAAAGTGTATTGAAACAGAAAATTATTAGTATTTTGCTAGGAAGAAAATGGTGCAGTAACATAATATGGGTGGTAAGGGTTGGTGAACTCGCTCTTAATTCACATATAAGGACATGGGGGAAAATTATGTTACTTACTGCTTTAGCTGGTTTCTCTTTCCATACAGACAGTTCTTTAGATAAAAGTTCTTCTGGTTTCATTCTCACTAGTTTTGACAGTGAGATTTCCTCACGAAGGACACGATGAAAAAGTCCCTGAAAACAAAACAGACTTTGTTGCCACGCTGAGGCGAACCTGCTTGGGGAACTACAAGATTTGCAGCGCTGAACAGGCAAAACCTGTTCCAGTTGCTTAATTCTCTATTAAAAATACCGGCTGCTTATAAGCAAATTTGGAAAGGTGCAGCAACCAGAAAATAAGAAGTTCCAAGTGTTCTTTAGTGGATATTTTCATCTGCACCAGCATCCATTTTTTTCTTTTAAAGCATAAATACGATCATGTACATGGGCAGTATCCAACACATACTACAGAATGTCACAAGAGAAGAAATTAATGAAGTCTGTATTTATTTTAAGAAAGCCATTCCGTAAATAAATATTTCACACCAAATGCCCAAAGTTAATAAATACACATGACCAACTAACGCAGACTTTGAATTCCTACTGGATTTTTTTTTTTAAATATTTGAATGGCTTTATAATAAGCTTTTATAGTGTAATTCGTAAGTCTCTATCTTGAAACTCTTAACATGGAGGGTATAGTTTGACATTACATTAAAACCCAAAAGTATATTTCAGTATATGTTTACTGTTTAAGGAAATTCCAAACCTGGTTTTTCGGGTCCTTCAGATTGAACATGATGCTACGGTATTTACTCTTGTATCTGTTGTCCGTAACTTGAAACAAATTAAACATCTCCTTTACAATGTTGAGCGCTACTTTCCCTTCTTCGCTCTCTGTCATTACCAGATCATCGCTATCATTGACTCTGTTAAAAACAAAAACGGGAACGTGCATTTATGTTACGCATGAATCTTCAGGCAGCATTCATGAAATCTGACTTTTCAGAGGAAGAAGCTAACCTAGGCTCCTCCTCACGCAGCAAGGGCTCAAGACTCCTTTAAAAGCCATCTCAAAGCCAAAGTCTATCTCAGGACCTTGAACTGTGAACTATGACAACCCCTCATGACGGTCCACAGGCGTAGAAGGAAGGCCTTTGTGGACTGACGCCAGCCTTTACAGCTACTGCTGCTCACAGTGCTTGACGTTAGGAGTTTCTCTGCCGTGAACGACACAGGGAGCCTGAGCACTTGAGTTTTAGTGCTAGATTTTCCACCGTGAACAGGATTTCCATTTCAGAGACAATACCAGAGTGCAGTGGTCTATACTAAGTATTGATGGCTGGCATTAGCTTTAATAATCATGGACAAATTGCTTTTGTTTGCTTGCAGTTTGTTTTTCGTCTTTCCTAAGTGATACGGTTGCCCACTGACCAGGGTTTGTTCTTGATTTTTATGTTGGGAGGGGAGGAAATCTCTGCTTCAGTAAGCCTTTAACCTTTCACTATGATATTCCCTATACTACGTTCCCTACAACCTCTACATCTCCAAACACTGCTATCACCAGATTTTAAAACTTCAGAGCACCTGCATTATAAAAGCTTCTATGCTGTAATTTAATTCTTCAGCTGTAATTGCCTCAATATAAATGGAATAGTGAGGTTTGGTTTTATTAAAAGACCTTTTCACATGCACATTTATTTTATACCAGGATTTTTAAGTTTTTTTAATATAAACTTGAAACGCCAATTATACCTGTAGTATAAATTCAATCCCTCGATATCCCTAATCAAGAAGTAAACAAAACTAAAAATTTACATCTAGTTGTAGCTTCCTATATAAAATTAGCGCTTTGAATTCCCACCTCTTCCACAAAATTTCCTTTAGGGACCGTCGAATATTTTGTCGAATCTGAGAGTTGGGTTGTGACTGCATAGGGTTAGCTGACGCTTTTGCTTGACTACTTCCAGCTGCGGTAGAAATGGAAGACAGCGAAGGCTTTTTGAGTCCTCCACCCAAACTGGAAGATGTAGCTGGTTTTTTGGAAAATGCTGAAACATGAGAAAGAGATGAATGTTTTGAAGGAACACTGCCTGATGAAGGCCAAGGTTTCTTGGGAATTACACCTTTGAAACTCCCAGCAGAAGGTTTAAGTGGTTGCTTAGTTAGTGGCGTGTTAGAGAAGGATGGGGACTTCTTCGAAGGAAGATTTTTAGTGAGAGAAGACGTCTGTTTCTCCATTATAGATGCAACAGCTTTCTTCGATGCCGATGTAGGCTCTGCTCTATCTTCATGCTTTTTCTCTTCCCTTTGAGCTGTTAAAACAAAAAAGAAAATACAACATTAAAGGCTTAACTTTCTAACTTCCTATTCATGAAGATCAGTTACCAACCTGTAAAGAAAAGTCTGTGAAATGACATCTGCAAAGAATAACTCTCAAGTAGGCAATTTAAGCTAATTACTTCCACTAGCCTTTTTGTAAGTAATTTTAAAAACCATGCAGAGGTGGACATAAGTTTTTTGAAGAAATTTGTCTTTGATCCTTCAGAGAGTACTTCATCTCAGAGGCTGACTGAAGAGCTTAAGAGAGTTCCACTTTGGCTCTAAAGGTTGAAAATTTTATTTACAATCTACGTAAGAAAACTGAAAAAAAAAAGGCACCACCTTCAAAGATTCTTGAATGGGATAAGCTTCAAAAACACCCCACTGTCACACGTTTAAAAAAAAAGGCAATACAACCGCATCTTGTATTTAAACAGAAAAATTCTCATAGCACTTTATAGAACCTGCTTATTACAGAGGCTAGCCTGATGATAGAGTCCATGAATTTGAAACTGCATGATTACCTTTAGTATTATTAATAAATAATTATATTAATAAACGCTTTCCCCCAGATTTTTTATTTTAAAGAGCAAAGACAGACAAGTTACATTGCACAGAAGCTGCTAAAAAATTTAAATGCATACTCAATCTACTTGGTTGCTAGCATTAATATCATACAGATAGCATTGCCATGAACTATTACTAGATCTTCCTATTCAGTTCCTAGCTAAATTCTAGATTTATAGAATAATTAAACATTAATATTTCTGCTCAAGCTGTGGCCATCTAATTCCCACCATTCACAAACTGTTCCATTCACAAACTGTTCCATTCACACTATTCAACAATTCCCACCATTCACAAACTGTTCCATTCACACTATTCAGATTTTCCATTTTTTTCCCCTCAAGTTAATAGAGTAATTGATACGTCGTACACAAGAAGATTTACAAAGCATAAGTAAAGGCTCCAGTTTTCACCCAGGTTGAAGTTATACTTGCACAGGACTTTAAAAGCAAGCATTTCTTTCAATTGCATTCATCTGTTCGCTGCTGGCACCGACAGGAACAATTCAACACAGCAAGAAAAGCCAGACCCAAAAGCACACACGTACACCCAGCAAAGCACACATCGTTTACAAGACCTTAAAGACACGGCGGGCTAACACTGGCACGTTTATCCTGACAGCTCAAAAAAGGATGGGTTCTGATGGAAACTACCAAAACCCAGCTCCTGAAATACAATTGTTTCAGTTAGAAAAGCCAGGTTTTCTCCCCAAAAAGCCTTTTTTTTCCTCACAGATCTGACCACTGACTAGTTAACAAGTTAATTTTTAATTGATTGTCTTTAGCTACTGAGGGTTTGTAGATGAATTAGCCCAGAAACCCTAGTGGCAAAAATACAGGATGCTTCCTGGGAAAGATCCAGGAATTTAACTTAGGATAACTTGAACAAACAGCCCCACTTCACCTTCCAGCCCTGCTGTAACCAGAGCAGAATTACCAGGAGGATCCAAATTGTCCGTTCTGTTCTGAGATGGACTCGAAGGGGACAAAGCACTCCCGTGAAGCCTGGTTCAAGAAACCCCATACATCAGCCCAAGCTTTCCATGAAAACACCCCTCAAGATCTGGGATGCTTAAGAGACAGAACATGCTACTCCCTTATTTTGGGAGGAAACAGCCTTGCAGCCTTTCTCCACACTTAAAAGTTCGGGTGCCCCCTGAATGTCAGCATACGCTTCCAGCGGAAAGATGCTTCTAACCCCAGTTTCTTTAAATGGGCTCTTACTGGTGGCAGTTTCACCACAAATACAGAAACCAGTGGTTGAGATGAACTAAGAAAAGAAACTGTACTTGAACTTTGCAAGGCGAAGTATAAGGGTGCGTGCCGAACTTCTGCTGGAACACAAGGAGAAGCTGGAAGATCCAGGAACACTATGTATTTATCCTTATTTATTTTCCTAGAAGCATTTTACAAGTAGACACCTCGAGGAATTCTTCTGAGTGAGAGTTGACTATTTGAAGTGTAAAATCAAACAGCTGCCTTAACGCCTTAAATAATTTCCAAGATTGTGAAGATTTTGCTATAAAGTAGATTAAAATTATTACTCTTGCACTGTTCCTGTAGTTTTCCCTAGAGACCGAGCCCGGGAGACCTCCCTAGTCACCCACGATGTCTTCTCTCACCTCCCCACCCTCCCGCAGAGCTCGCCCCCCTCACCCTGCTCCAGGTGTCAGCAGGGGGATGGGGAGCTACTGCTGATGGGTTCGGTTTGGTCAAATGAGGCACCCAGAACTTAACAGAGGGGAAAAAAAGCCCGATTTTGAGTTAATAGTCCTGAATAGAGAGGTGACCTCTCTATTCTGATCTGATCTGATAAAATGGCAGGAATTCCTCTGCTCCCATTCTCCTTTGCCCGGTTTATTGTATCTTCTGCACAGATCTGTACCTTTTCAGGCCCGTAGGACAGAAGCACGTTTCCGCGACTCATCGGGAAAAGGCAGGACAGCACAGCTCAGGTTTCAGAATGACGACAGTAAAATTCAGTCCTCGGTGCGAAGACATTTAGTTCTTTTGGTTTACAGCAGAAGTACAAAATGTGAAATTCTGCATTTGTATTTAATTCTCTACATGCTCTCTTTTTAATGATAGTCCGAATTAATTAACAAGACCTACATAAATAAACCTAAAAATAGCATGGCTGTTTTGTGTCAATGAGATGCTGTATACACGAGAACTACATCCACACCACAAACCTTCCTATGTTACAGAGCTGTATCATCGTAAGAATATGCACTTGTAAAATAAATAAATAGAAGTGACTAGTATAAAGGTAGATTGACGTTCCCGGAGTTGAGGGCAGCAGAATCGATGTGTCCAAGGAGAAAGATGCAGAAGCATCCTTTATTCTGCAAGTTGGCATTGCGACTACTGACGACTGTTTCCAAAGTAAGGGATGTTCCAAAGTAAGGGAGGTAATCTGTGCTGCTTTAGCCAACAGAAAACGTGCAAATATTTCATAAGCTTCATGGAAGTTTAACAGTGTCAAACTACAATACTACTTTATACCAATTAAAACTGTCTATCTAGCAGGACTTGTTTACAGGAATTGATGGTACAGATTCTGTATGTACTAATTCAGCCACACGTAGGTCGTTCAGTGGTTCGGAACATCTACCCACTAAGTTTTCAAGTTTACAGGACACATCACCGTATTTGAAGGACACTTGCATCGTGTGCGCATTTTGACAAAGAACCAAGACTACGTAAATCTTACATCTGCAAGTAAGCTGTGATGGCTGTAGAGGAACCTAACCGAAACCACCTCTTATCCCATTTTGACTATGAGAAACCAGAACTTTCTGTCCTATCAAGTTTTGGTTTTTAGTGACAGAATTAATGTGCTGCCACGTGATCCAGCTGAACCAACTCACTGTGCCGTTACAGGGGTCTCGGATCCAACGCACAGGAGCGCCCAGCTGAGCGCGAGGAAGGAGCAGCGCTGCCTCTTCTGCTGGCAGCTCGCTCTTCTACGGACCTGGCCGCAACATCAGCACACCCCAAAGCTTGTGCCATCTTCTGATCGGTATGAAACTATGGCAAGTGTATGTTTGGAAGAGCTAACAGAAATATGTACTCTTTTCAGAGAGCGGTATGCCAACGTATTGTGGGATTTAACTTCTGAACAGATGCCACAGTCGCTCAGCAAATCGACGGGACATACAACGGAACGGGTTTTCTTTCAGACTGTGAGTTTCAAATAGCTTGGCCTTGCAATCCACGAACAACTTGAAGACGCAGTTAATGCCTACTATACATACTGGCCACTGTATTTTATACTGCGATGTTTCCAGTCCTTTTCATCAGTAGCTCCAGCGTACCTACAATAAATGCTCTTAAACACATTTAAAATAAAAGTTTTAAAAATAAAAATAAAAAAATAATTAAAAAGATTGAACATTAGCCTATCCAGTCTAGCAATAATAGGGAGTTTCACCACAGAAGACCCGTGCCAGAATAAGGCATTTAGTGGCTCTTCTATTCAGCACTGTGAACACACGGGTATACCTCCCTTGGCTCCATGTTAAAGCGGTATTTAAAACAAAACATTAATTCCTGTTTTCACCACTTTGTTCTCTGAGCCAGTTATTAGGACCGCAACAGGATTCTTATTGACTGAAGAGGCACGGGCTAAAAAGGCCGAGAGGTTCAGATGGAGCTCATGAGCTCATTTCTAGAGTGAAACCCAATGGATCCGCTGGCAGAAAAAAAAAGTGCGTTCCTTGCAAGGCTTAAGAAATTGAATTACTATAGTATGTTCACTACAGACATAACTATAATCTCTCCCACTAGATGTCAACAGATACAAAACCCTCCCCTATGGAAACTCCCCATGAAGCTCATCTAAATATTACAACACGCAGCCAAGGAATGAAATTTCTGTAAGCGGTGGACGATGTACCGGCCAGGTTATCTATGGGGTGACAGCTGAGCCCGTTGAAAGCCCGACGGTTACATATCCCTCACTTTTGTACACCTCAGCATTGATGTTTCAGCACTGTAACGTGGGTGTTCAGGCCCAAATTAAGAATGATTTCCAGTGTAGCAGTTTAATTTTGCGTGAAGGATCTGCGGGATGCACTCACATCGTAACCCCTCACCTACGCTGGGAGGCTGTGTTTTACACCACCAGCATGGAAATCACCCAGAGGGAACTTTGCCGTTCCTCTGATCTCTTCCAAAGTATTTCTGTATAGCATTCAAGTCTACGCTGTTTCTTCCCCCTTTCCCTCTCTACCTGATCTTAGGAATAGCAGCTTTATAAAGCCACTTCAAAACTACACCACCACCCCCCTTAGTTTCTATTTAAATTAGCTCATTTGTGACGGGTTATTTTGCTGGAGACATCATCTATTTTTTTCCCAAATTTTAAATATCTGAAGAAATGTGCTATTACTTTTGTTTGTATAGTTTTAAAATTATTCATGTAT